AACCATAAAACTAAATTATATATATATATATATATATATATATATATATATATATATATATATATATACACCTAGTATATATATATATATATATATATATATATTTAGTGAGCCAGACAAACCTACCTAAACGGATCGTCAGGGAAAATCGCCAAACTTTCCCTGACGATCCGTTTAGGTGAAACCTAGGTAGGTTTGTCTGGCTCACTAGGTGTATCTAGGTCTGCTCTACGGTTGTATTGAGCTCTTTTGTTAGTTAGTTGTTTACTCGTATCGGGGTTTTTTTTTTGGGCTTCAGACCTGCATCTGTGAGATTTTTTTTCGGCAGTTCATGTTTGTAGCTCTTTTTTTTTTTAAAACTTTTTTCCCTCGAGATTGATTTGATTAGCAAATCAAAAATTCGAGGGTTTTTCGAAACGAGTCTAGTTATCTATATATATATATATATATAGTTTTTAATGGCCAAGTTTGCTTTCATTTGTTCTTTAATACGGTAGTAGCAGCAGCAGCCAGGGCATGTCAGCGTTATTTGTTACCTCCCTTTGGTATTTTGTTACTCCATCATAAAGTCAGTTTATAAACCAATAACAAGGGCACCTCGAGGTGGTGTAGTGGATAACGAGCTTGACTCGCTAATACAATAACGAATGTGTAATGAGTTCGATCCTTGTACCACATCCTAGCTTCGCTTGGAAAATCACTTAGGCACCTCGACATGGTGTAATGGATAGAAAGCTTGTCTTGCTAGATCAATTACGACTGGGTAGTGAGTTCGATCTTCACTGGGTGCCCCATACTTTCGGCCTTGTGCCACATCTAAGCCGGGCTTAGAAAATCATGATAAACAATTTTTGGAATGCTTTTGAATATTAACTATCCAAGTGGATGGTGGAATTTTTTTCCATGTGAAAATGAGCGATGACACAAGAAATGTCGGGAACCCGTGGTTTAAATGCAAAATTCAGTTTGACCTGTAATGTTTGCAGCTTGAGACCTCGAGAAAACGTTGGTGCCATTCTTGAATTTGTGTGTCAAACCTGATCAAAATATTTTTTAGCAGTCGTGCAAGCACAACATTGAGCGCAGGAGATTAGAGCTTCCTTCTTTTCTTGACTGACACGTACACATTAAACAATTAAAAGCGGATGATGGGAATTTCTGTCGTTGTCACACGGTGGCTCACCTGCGAATGACAGAATTTTCCGTCAGTAAAACTTATATAAGGAAAACACTATGCAAATTCTGTTCGCTCTGTGAATCAGGGTAATGAACGGAGATGTTTTCCTCCAAACAATCAGTGCCAAGATATTATTTAGTCCGAGAAGCTAATTTAAATATTTTTTTATCCTCAAAATTGGTTATCATTTCTGTTTTTTTTAATTTTCTTTAAATACTTCATGAGAATCGCTCAGAAGAACTTTCCTCGTTGATATCTAGACTTTATGAATTTAAGCGCAGTACTAGAATGGCTGCTAGGTCTCAATATTGTGAGCTTCCCTTCTTTCTGTACCAGCAAGTAAGCATTATGCAATTAAATCGATTGTTATACGGTCGGCTGAACTGCGAATGACAGAATTTCCCGTCAGTCAAACTTATATAAGTCAAACTATGATATGGCAACATTTTCCGTTTTAAATGCAAATTTTGTTTACTCTGTGAGTCGGGGTTTTCCTCTAACCAATCAGTACAAGGATATTATTTACTTCGAGAAGTTAATTTAAATATATTTTTATCCTCAAAATTTGTTTTCATTTCTGAAGTACTTTGAGATTATCTTAAATTTATCATCTGATCGTGAAAAAGATTTTACTAATGAAGTCTCACTTGATGACTTATCGGACAACGAACAAATACAGAAAGTGCTTTAAAAACTAAACGATAACTCATCGAAAATAGAATAATTCCTTTTTTTTAAAAAAAAAATTATTGGAACTCAGTGTGTGGAAATAAATCAAACCTGTCCTGATAAAGTTTTAGAAATTTTTGACTCAATTCAAAGTAGTGAAGAAACTTACCGTAAATTACCGCGTACAAGTCGAACTCAAGAATTTTAGTTCCAAATTCCGAGTAAGGGCTATACCTACCGTATAGGTCGACCCCGAAACATACGGTAGGCTACCAGTGGCCCTAAACTTAAACCTACCGTTAAATGAAGTTAGGCTACAGTATGCGATAACCTGTACCGAAACTAGATAAGGCCACACCACTCAGCTGTATATTGGGGCACTAACAGCAATATCCTTCTATATGCGTTATATAGTAAACCTACAACTCACACCGTTAGGTACTGTATATTTTATAGGTACTGTATATTTTATCGGTATAACTTAGCGAACATTTAAAATTCGTCAGGTCTACTGATAAATACATTAAAGTCAACATCAACTCCTATAAAATGTTAATAACGTAGATTACACATCGTTCAGGTATTTTTTATAGTACTGCTACGTATTATATGTTATTGCAAAACATAGTATCACTCATCCGCCATTTGCATCAATGATGTAAACACACAAGCAGTAACCGCCACCAACCTCTACCAATAGAATACTGAAATTATGTTACTATTTTATTATCAGGTCATCCCATAAGTTCTGTTCGAATTTTACCTTTTTTTAAAATGAACGAAATTTAAAGAGTATTTTATAATGTCTAATGGAGCTGAACATTATTTTTATGTTTAGATGCATCTAAACTGATCAAATTTTATTTCAGAGAACAATAAAATTTAACTATGTTTGATTAAAACCCTGCTAACATGGAAGTACCCAAGAATCCTTTGAGGCACATAATGTTTTATGAGTTCAAGAAAGGAAACTCAGCAGCCGAAGCGGCTAGAAACATTCACTCAGTTTATGGAGAGGAATGTGAATGAAAGAACTTGCAGAAGATGGTTTGCAAAAATTCAGAGGTGGAGATTTCACCTTGAAGATGAAGATCGAACCGACGTTCAGTTGAGTTTGATGAAAAGCTTCTTTGAAGCAGCCCTTGAAGAAAATCCTGTTTTATCAGTTGAGGAATTGGCAGTGGTTCTCAGTTCAAACCATACAACTGTTCATCGTCATCTTCAACAACTTGGAAAAGTTCCTAAACTTGGAAAATAGGTGCCTCATGAATTGTCTGAAAACAACCTCAAATCCTGAGTTGACATCCGCTCTTCTCTCCATTCTCGTCAACTTGTTACATCTTTTTTGAATAGACTTGTTTCTATGACGAAAATGGATCTTTTACAAATGTTAAGCGTCGTAGAATGAGAAGAGAAATTCATGGGCAAAGATTTTTCTTTTCATTTGGAAGCAAATATTAATGCTCAAACATAAATTAGAGCGTTTGAACCAGCTTTGAGGGAAAAGACCTTTGTTTCATCAGGACAATGAAAAAGAATCACGTCACAAAAAATCGAAGAACTTGATTGGGAAAAATTCCTCATCCACCTTATTCTCCGATCTTGCTCCTTCAGACTACCATTTGTTTCGGAGCTAAGAAGAAACAGGTTAAAACTGACATTTGTGAGTTCTTCGAATCAAATTCAAAAGAATTTTACAGTAATGGAATTAGTAAGCTTGTTAATAGATGGAAGGAAGTCATAGATAATCAGAGAAAATACATTGTTGATTGAATCTGTAATTAAATGTAACATTTGGTCACTTGTTTTCTTTATTCAAAATTCGGACAGAACTTATGGGATGACCTGATATTTTATGTTAATTCCTGTATTAATATGCCAAATATATTCATCAAACAAGTTTTAGTGGGGATATATCAGCAGGAGTTGCGGTAAGTTGTGTACAGTAATTATTAGGGGTAATGTCTCACTTGTTTACAACTCGGTGGTAAAGGTCTGCATTTTATATCCGCCAAACTCCTAGTTTTGGAAATATTAAACTGTCATTACTATCATGAAATTGTGCTGATGACACACATACCAGAGCTAGTTGTCTGAATAGCCGCTTCAGCTAAACGGCGCTTCGGTCAGTGTTTACATTTAGTGCATCAGCGGTTGGAAGCGATATGTTATGTAGCGTTAATAGGATGTTGAAATTGTGTTAGAGTCTTATTATTTTATATTAGTTTCTTGTTAATATTTCAAATATGTTCACCAAACACAAGATTTTTGTGGGATATAGTTGTGGCAGCCTGTAAGTGGTATACAGTAACTTTTGGGAGTGCTGTTCAATTTGTTTACAACTCGGGCGTAACGGTTTTCATTTTATATTCGCTGTATAAGTCGACTTGTACGCCGTAATTTACGGTAAGGTAATCAATCCGGAAACTATTGCGAATGTTTTTGAAATTTGCAAACAGAAATTAATCTCAACATTATTGAAGATAACAGAAAACTAAGAAGAATAATTCAAAAGACTGATTAAACGTCGTCCGGGCCCTGATTTAAGAAAGCGTAAGATATGCTAAAATAGACAAGAGTAACAATCCACACTAAAACGAACATCTACCTTAAATACATGTTTCTAATTGGTGGAACTCATCCAAGCTTCTCTTTTACCCCACGAGCCATGACTACTATCCCCAAGTGGCTCAGTCCGGAGCATTAGAAGCTAGTTCAAGCAAGGATATACAAGTGATAGAAATTATTAGGATGATTTGAGATAATTGTAATTAAGTAATTCAACGAGTCTAGAAGAAACCTCAACAGAATGCAGAAAGCACTGGACGGCCGTTTCGTCCTATATTTGGGACTCATCAGCAGTGCGCATCCACTACCGACAATTGAAACCTCTGACAGTTACGTTATCAGGCAAACGTCATACCAACTGTACCAACGGGCCTCGGTGACGAAGAGGTATCGAATCAGACTCGAGCCGTTTCTAATTTTTTATTATGGTTGACATAGTGAGGCATGAACTCAAAAAATTCACTTCAATGTTGAACATTCCAAAACCGTATGATGCGCCTCATGACATATAACAAGTTGAAAATGAGGGAAAAAACACTCTTAGAAATTAAACCTACTTGTCTTCACAATTCGATACCATCTGACTTACGACTATATCACGTTAAAACACCAGTTCTCGTACGATCACCCAAGTTAAGCAACGTTGAACCTGGTCAGTACCTACATGGGTGACCGTTTGGGAATACCACGGGCTTAGATGTGGTGTCATGGATTATTGCTCGGAATTTGGAAATCGAAGAGTCCCATTTCCAGTCCGTTTTATTCACTTACGAGCAAATATCTTTGGGAAGGGTATGATTCCACCTCTTTCCCTCCCATCTATGGGTTAATTAGTAGGATTTGTTTCAGTAACCCCCCCCCAAATACTTACAATCTAAAAATAATTTTTTGGCTTTAAATAACCTGAAAAGAGTGGGTAGGCCGTATAAAAGAAATCAATCAATCGATACCGCCCATAACAAATCCTTGAAACTATTTGGATTAAAGGATTTCGTGCAGAGCTAGCTAAGTTGTGTCTTGAAGGCATCGTGCCTGGAGAGAGACATTGAAGAAACCAAAACAGAGACTGAAGGCTAGTATAATTAAGTGCTCCCCAAACTAATGAGAAGTAGACACTGAAAGAAAAAAAAGGTTCTTTTTTTTTTTTAAGATCGTAATAAATAGCGGGGAATAAGTCACGTGAGTTTGCAATCTGCGACAGGCGGAAACGGCGACTCGTGATGGCTGATGATCAATTGTATCGGCTTAGCCTTCGAGTACACAATTCTCGAAATCTGTCATATCCCACTGACAGCTCACCAAGGCTTTACGTACGCGAGGCTTTGCTTTAAATTTTGACATGTTTTATCGACCAGAACCCCAGATGCTTTCAAAGAGAAATGAAAACATACATTTCAAAGAGCCTTTTTGTCATCTGATATATAAAGCTCAAAGTCTGTGAGTTAGTCGGCTCGAAAGCCGGAAAATCAATTAAATACATATGTAACGTTCGTTGTCTCACCGCGTGTATTTAAGCAAGTAATTTTAACGGAAACAACGCCTAATGAACACTTGATTGATGGAAGTAATAAAAAAATATCAATTTTCGGATATAAACGGTGTTCCAATAATTTGAAGCGATTTTAAATGAGAATTAAGTTTAAGCGTCTAACGATTTTTTTTTATTTTCATTTCAGGTCTGGCGGACATTATTTTTCACACATAATTGCCATGACTTAAATAGCATGATCCAATAGAGAAATAAATAAATTTTCACCAATAACACTGATTTATTTACTGCTGACTTTGATCCGTTTTAATGAAACACCTATGGGTGTTCCAATTACATGGACCGATTTTAAACATGAATTAAGTTTAAGCGTCTAATGATTTTTTTCTTTTTATTTCAGATTTGGCAGACGATATTATTTTTTACGTGCGATATTATTTTTTACACATAATTGCCATGACTTAAATAACACGATCCAATAGAGAAATAAATAAATTTTCACCAATGACACTGATTTATTTACTGCTGACTTTGATTCGTTTTAATGAAACACCCTTATATATAATCCGTCATAATGAAACACCCATTACTTTTCAAAGGATCCTGTAGTGAATTTTTCTATATAGTTATTTTCATATTTTTTTTCCTTCTTTCTATTCCCCCCTTAAACCTATTTTCATTAGCAAGGCTTATTTTTTCATTCACGCTTTTTAAAATCCCAGTCAAGTAAGAAAGTGTTATGGAGTGATTTCACAGTGGAGGCTTGTATTTGTACTAAGTCGGTCCTAAAATAGGTTCGACGTACAAAACGTTAGGAACTTCATATAATAGGTATGACGCAGTAATCTAATTTAGTATCCGACTAACGGTCGTCCGACATCGACTGACTGACCAACTCACTGAGCGACGATATTCAGTCCCCCCACCCCCACGAGGGCGTCATGTAGCACAAGGCTGGTTTAACATGGGCTCGGCCAAAAATATGCCCATTGAACCCGTATAAACGGGTTCAGGGTCGGTTTACCTCCCCGAAAGAGAATCCGCCCTTCGGCGTAGCCGCTTTCGGGTTCCTCCCCGCCCGAAGGCAGAGAGTTCAACCGATCAGCCGGTCGAGACTGAGCGACTTTCCTCGTTACTCTTACTTCCACTATAACAGAAAGATTAAAAGAAAATACTTTTTCTTTGTTTTTTTTACCAATGTTCATTCAATGCAAGGCCCAAGAGACACTCAAGGTAGAGAATTACTTTGTGAAGTGTTATTAGCGTAGGAAAAGACATGCGTTAATGGGTATGTATCAAAGCAAATTTGCTTCTCCCACAGGAAGGGGGTTAGGGTTATTACCTGGCGTCTGAGGCGTCTTAAAAAAGGAAGGGGCGAGGAAACTAGTACAGTTTTTCACCCTAACCCATGGGTTAAGGAGAAAATGGTTTCCAACTTTAAATTCGACGTTTTGCCGCATTCTGATCGAAAGGGCTCACGAATAACCCCACCCCGCTCCAAAATACTGCAACATTTTCACAGACACTGAAACTACACAGGCTGCATTCCTGTAAAGGGGAAAGACTCCTTCAAAAGTCATCCATTACAATGGGTACTTGAAGACTTGTTGCGTATATTTTCATCTTAATTTGCTTGCAGACAACAGCATTTTGACTCAGGTCTGATACCGACTTATGTCTACTTTTTGGCAAAGGTTTGACCCAGATCCATGTTTATCCATCTGTCAATTCATTGTAAATTTTTTGTCTTAACAGCGAATTAAAAGTTAAGTTATCTTACCTCTCCAAAATGTCTGGAATGTAGAGAGATCGAAATTATTTTTATGCAAACCCAATTAAAAAAGAAACTTTATCGACTGAAATATGTTTTATGTATGGGAATTTTCAAAATTTGAATAAAGAAAAAATAAATAACACGTGTGAAATATTTTCTAAAACAGATACGGGCAACTTTTTTCGAGCAGAGAGTCGTATCATCTCTGGCTCATCATAAGGCGGGTCACACTACTAAGAAAGATTCAAATTAATTTTCTGTAGTAGGTAACACGGCTATTTTCGCTAGTGAAACCACATACATAAGCAAATGCCTTAGAAATGGGGGAAAATTGATTTATTTTTTAAAAAAATATATTTATCTCTGTTTATATTTCTGAATTGAGGTATTGTAACTAATTACACTATTTACATTATTCGGAGTGCTCTCATCTTTATAGCCATATTCACGACGATTTATTAACCAAATTTCTCAAAGTTTCCATTCATTCTAAACATCAATAAATCCGTAGCTTAATGACGGAAAAGTATTTATTTTTACACAAATAGCTATTTTCAACGTAATGCGATTCCTTGTCAATGCACTTAATCCAATGGGGAATATTAATCACATAGAAAAGAGAAAACAGCAAGAAATAGACTACTACAGAAAAAATGTTCAATCTTTTGCGTCGAAGTGCAAAATTCTAATAAAAAATTGTCTGTTTTCTCTCCATAGAAACCAAAAATATTTGTGAAAAGTCAGTGGGAAAATTGTTTCTCTGTAACAAAAGAAAGTAATAATTTACAATGGAATATTTCTTAAATCTGTAAGTAGTTTTATCTTTTATATCTTAACTAGCAGCATGGCCCGGCGTTGCCCGTACTTGATTAAAAAATCGTACGACTCATACAGCAATCGCTATCACTTGACTTAAAATATTTTTGCCGTTCCTTGCATTTTAAAGGAGTGCCCTTTGCCGTGCTGATGTTGCTACATGCCTTACTTCTTGCCTATCTCACACTGCGAATTTTTTCTAAACTCTATACTAAACATTAAATCTGTTACGAAAAAAGAACTAAACAAAATGAACACAAAACGATCAGCTTTAAAAAAGGACTCGTAACTGGAAAAAGCGAATGAAAAAAGAATGTTAAAAACAAACATATTTTCACACCCAACCCAGTTCTGCGGAATCAGAATCAACGTTGAGTTTAAGCAAGCGAATGAGCCAATTGGAGTAAAGTGCCATGCAGATTAAAATTTTTCCCACTTGTGACGAATGCAGCTATCGATTTTTTTGCATGCTAGTTAACATTCGTGTTAGTCAGCTGTTGGCTCTCACGCTGACCAATAGAATCTTCCTGCCTATTCGTGGCAGCCAGCTATTGACTCTCAATCTGGCCAGTAGAAAATGGCCGCAAACTACATGAAAACTGCCGTAGAAGCATGAAAAAATCGATTATTTCCACTATCGATGGGAGTTGAGCCTTGGCCTTTCCACTAACTTGGAGCATGTGCATGCAAATTTTGGTGCAAATTCGTCGAAAATTGCACCCGTGCATTCGTTACACACACACACACACACACACACACACACACACACATCCTGCCTTTTATAGAGATTTCAAAATCGTTTTAGAAATGAATAAATATTGACACCATTTTGTTTCCTTATTTATTTTAGTAAAATGTAAATGAGGAAAACTAGAGAAATAGACAGAGAAGGTCAAAGGGGGGAAACGAGAAAGAAAGAGAGAAAAAAAATGTTAATGAGGAAAACGAGAGATAGATTTCGGTAGTAAATAACCCATAGAGGTGTTGATATGTTGACGGGAAAATAACTTCATTAATGCTGAATGAGTGCTGGCAATGCTCTCAGAATAATTCAACCTTTTTTTCTTTCGAAGAGAAATTTTCCCACAGCACAAGTATCGAACGAATGAGACAAGAGGCGAACAATGCTCAAACAATGAGTGCTGGAGAATGACTGGCAAACGGTAAAATGGCGGCAGACTACAGTAGGTTACACCGGTACATAACTTCATTAATGTTGACTGGGTGCTGTGCAAAGCTCACGGAATAATTCAACCTTTTTTTTCTTTATAAATAGTCTGACTGTTTCTTTTTTTATTATTTAACGGCATATCAACATCTGTATTGGTTATTTATTACCGAAATCTAAATATTTTGCAAGAAATTTTATTTTATTTTATTAAAGTTAATAAAGGTTTTAATGATACAAGTTCTACTAATTAACCCATAGTTGGAAGGGAAAGAGGTGGATTCATACCTTTCCCAATATTATTTGCGAGCAAGTGAATGAGCAAGTGAATGTCACGAAACCAACTGGAATTGGAACTCGGTTCTCCAATTAACAATTCTGAGCTATTATTCATAACACCACCTGCACATCTAAGTATAGAGCAATTGGTATTCCCAAGTGGTCAC